CGTATTATATCGTATCGTATCGTATCGTATCGTATTATATCATATCATATCGTATCGTATCGTATTATATCGTATCGTATCGTATCGTATCGTATCGTATCGTATTATATCATATCATATCGTATCGTATCGTATTATATCGTATCGTATCGTATCATATCGTATCGTATCGTATCGTATTATATCATATCATATCATATCCTATTGTATCGTATCACATCGTATCGTATCGTATCGTATTGCATTGTATGGTATTGTATTGTATAGCATCATATCATATTGTATTGTATAGCATCATATCATATTGTATTGTATTGCATCATATTGTATCAAATTATATCATATCGTATTGTGTCACATCGTATCGTATAACATCGCATCGCATCATATTGTATTGTATCGTATACTCCGAAGTACAAAACATATTTGGTACTTCTGAGTATTGTATTTTATGGTATCACATAATTTTTTTATCCTACAACATTACATTGCATCTAACTGTATTATATTAAATTGCATTGCATCATATGCCATTATACTGCATCATATTGTGTTGTACCATGTTGTATTTTATTGTATTGTGTTGCTCTGTAATGTATCTTTTTAAAACAACCAACACTACATATAAAGTTGTGAAGATTTAGAACATTTTTTATGTAAAATACTAATAAAACAGGGCAGTACATAGCTTAACAAGCAACAATTCTCCATGTAGAAATGATCAAACATCTTCTTGTTTCAGCAGTTTAAGATTTACTAAGTAAGAAATGACTTTCTTTTCCAGAATAATGCATGATGAGGTGAGCGAAACTGAAAACATCAGGAAGAACCTGGCGATTGAGCGCATGATCATCGAGGGCTGCGAAGTGCTCCTTGACACCAGCCAGACGTTTGTAAGACAAGGTATCCTCCACCTCCGAGTGCTGAACAAAACAGGAGGGGATTTCTTGTCCCTCCACATTACCGCTCTGACAGCGTGAGCTCTCAGGCTGGAAACGGGGTATTTTGGGTAAAATAGGATCTGGGCAAGAGCACACACTGCTCACAAKGACATTCTTTAATTTCCAAATGCAATTAGACTGTTCTGAGGCAAACTAATGATGAATCTGGAACTGTAAATGTCAGATGTCCTCAACAGGTCTTAATGGGTGAGGAGAGGGAAAATAGTACTTWCATCTTATGCTCTCTAGTATGTGTATTTAGAATTTCCTTTAATACTGTACCTTGCTTTTTGTATAGTTGCCTCTCTTCTCTTCATATGTGCATCTCTTTCTTTTTTTATTCAAAAACACTGTTTTGTTTCCTGTGTGCAGGGTCTCTCATTCAGGTGCCAATGAGCGAGAAGGGCAAAATCACCCGTGGGCGACTGGGCTCTCTGTCTCTAAAGAAGGAAGGGGAGAGGCAGTGCTTCCTCTTCTCTAAGCATTTAATCATTTGCACTCGGGGTTCTGGAGGAAAGCTTCATCTCACGAAGGTGAGCCTGAAGCTGCTGGACCGTCACTGTGGCTGCTCATCTTTTTGTCTGGGCTGGCATGAACGTTGTAGCTGACAGCAGACAAAAGATTCAGAGCCATGGCTTTTATCAGGAGCACTCATCACTGACTGTACATGTTTGAAACCTGGTTTAGTTTGAACAGAGCTTTACGCATACATTAAATTGGTGTAAAACAGTTAAAGGTTGGATTTGTGTTTGTGCAAATCCTAAACATTTCATAAAATCTGCCAATTTAATATTCTTTAGTTTGAGAAAATCAAATGTTTTTTGTTTGTAATTTTCTGTTGAGCAGCTTTATTATTAGAGGAAAAAKTTTGTATTCTTAAATTTCAAACTTGATGTTATGAGGCATGCATTAAAGGGGACGTATCATGCAAAATCCACTTTTTAGCCATTAAATATATTTGTTGTGTACTTGGAGTCACTAGTAGCGTAGAAAATCTGAATTTAGTCTCTCCTGGTGCTGCATAAATATCTTTTTATTCACTTTGCGTCATGTTTGGGTGGCAACCTCATTTTGTAGAAATGGGGTTTGTCTTTGATCGGGGCTGAGAACAACATGGATCTATCCAATTCTGTGATCATTATGGTTCGAGCTAGCTGCATCAGTTTGGGTGACAGTTAGGACATTTCCAGCAAAGATATCATAATGGTTCCGCCTGAAAAACCATGTAATGTAAAAGTGATGTAAAGGTTAACGTTTAAAGAATTTAAACAGTCAAGAAAAAGCTAAATGGTTAGCACTGTTGCCTCACAGCAAGGATTTGGGTTCAATCCCTGGTCCAGATCTGGGGTCTTTCTGTGTGGAGTTTTCATGTTCTCCTCATGTTTCTGTGAGTTTACTACAGTTTCCTCCCACAGACAAAAAACATTCATGTTAGGATGCCATAAGTGAAATTTTTGGGACTGAATCTATTTTGATATGTAAAATTATTTTGAGATGACACCAGTCCACTTTGGTATCACCCTTCCTCAGACTAGTCATTAGCTCATCAGCCCTGTCATAGCTAAATTCTGTTTCTCCAAATCAAAGTTGTTCTAGGAGCTTTGTTAAATGGGTAAAATAACCTCTTGTCACCTAAAGAACAGAACTTCAAAAGATGTGAATTATTATAGCTGATGAAAGATCTGGATTTACAGTAAAATGGGTTTTTATCAAACTGTTTATACTGTATAAAAAGCTAAAATCTCATGTTTTTTTTAGTTAATAAAATCCATCCATCCATCCATTTTCTTCCGCCTATCCGGGGTCGGGTCGCGGGGGCAGCAGCTTCAGAAGGGAGGCCCAGACCTCCCTTTCCCCAGCCACTTCTTCCAGCTCCTCCGGGGGAACTCCAAGGCGTTCCCAGGCCAGCCGAGAGACATAGTCCCTCCAGCGTGTTCTGGGTCTACCTCGGGGCCTCCTCTCACTGAGCCTCATCCCAGCCGCTTCGCACTCGGCCGCGAACCGCTCCAGCGAGAGCTGCAGATCAC